TAAGTTCATAAAATAAAATATTGACCGTCACTTGGTTTTGGCCATTAGCGGAGATCCAACTGTTGGATCATAATGAAACATTAGTACGTGGTTCTAGGAACATATTTGAATCTTTGGAAGTAACAGATCGGAAATCCGGGATGCAGATCTTTTGGAGTGAATTACGTAGGAATGTGTTTGTGTAAATTATGTATTCTATCAGTAAGAACTCTGAGACGTGATTTGATAATTGTTCTAGGCGACATTGGTTCGTGATGTCTCAATATCCGTGCTAGGGAGTCGTAGCGCGGACCTCAAGTGAGTGGGTCTTTTCCTTTCTATTGTGTGTGTGTGTGTGTATAGGATTGATAATTCCATAGACGTTTATAAATTCATTATTGCTTATGATTATTGTGAATGCTTTGAAGTACTAATGTGAACTACGAATGACTTGATCCTTGTTTAGGGTACGTAGGCAGTCTAACGAGACGTTAGATGCAGCCATACAAGAAGTGAGATTAAATAATTGAGACAATAGCCTTATTTAGGAATTGAGTAATGTGAAGGATATTGGTGGAAAATGTGAGATATAACCTTATGTTTTGGTGGTTAAATGTTGATCATAAATCAATGTGTGAAGAATCAAGAATTTGAAGTAAGGAAACATAAGTAATGATAGTTAATTAAACTAGTGTCTAGTTGGGCTTATCACCGATAATTATTCCCGAAAATAATTAGTTCGCGAGTAGGGCGTTACGGCTTATGCATTTTTATGCCATATTATTTATATAATTGAAAATGCGATGTCATGGTTGAGTATTAGATTGCATCATGGTATATCCATATGTATATTACCTGCACTTAATTATTGTGAACCCTTTGAAGTGCAAAGGTGAACGCAGGACACCCAGGTAAGTTCAGGTGAGTTTATAGTATTAATTGAAATGTTGGAGTTATGGTATGACTACATGTATGTTTTAGGCAACTCTGACCTTGTCGTACAGGTTGCAATGATAGGCAACTCCGACACTGTCCTACAGGTTGCCCATAAGTCATATATGTTACAATAGATACAATTATAGCTCATAAACCTGCACCCCGATGTTAGTGCTTCCGCCCGTGGCCAGGGCACAGTCATTCACGTGATGTTCACCTCCCGTACCTTACGCTCACCTTGGATCCAAGGGAGATGCTCAGTCCTGTTGTACAGACCACTATAGGTGGTTCCGACTCATAGGTGACCTGCGATTATTCGCATTGTCTTCACGTGATTGTAGCACTTAAGCGTACTTATTTACACCCAGTCCTGTCATACAGACCACTATAGGTGGTTCTGACTCGTATGCAAGGATATGTGATGAGCTATAGGTTCAGCCATACAGGCCACAATAGGTGGATACGGCTGACATATTACTTGGATATGTGATGAGATATGGATAAGTCGTACATGTCACTATAGGTGACTCCGACTTATGTGGTAGCATTGATTGATGAGATATAGATAAGTCGTATAGGTCACTATAGGTGACTCCGACTTATGTGCTAGCATTGGTTAATGAGATATGGGTGCAGTCGTACAGGTCACCATAGGTGATTCCGGCTTGCATGCTAGTATGGGTTCTTAAGCACATGATTATTTATATTGCTAATGAGATGCTGAGTAGTGGTATACTTCTGGATTTACTGTTAGTATATATTTGATTTCATACTTCTACGTAGTATGATTTTCTGGAAACTATACAGGTTTTACGGCGATGGGTTACTACCATTGATAATTGAAATGATTTTGAAAATCTTTGTTTGCCCACTCACACTCTCTATTTTGCACCCCTCCAGGTTCTAGTAGCAAAGTTCTGTATCAACGAGGACTTGTGGCACTCCCAGTTCATGTGGCTTTTTATGATGGTATAATTATTATCTTACCTCACTGTACTTTTCTTATGCTCTGTATCACGTGTGAAATGGGTCCATACCCGCTCACCGCGTACTTGTGTATATAGGCACTTTTAGTTTTAAATTTATTCACATTTTGCACATTATCACATTTTATGGCTTCGTTACCTTCTGGGTGTCAGCCAGCACAGCTCGATTCGGAGTTCTAATAGACATTCCGGTCGGGGTGTGTCAGAATAATAGTTAATTTTACTCCTTTTGGTTCTCTAATAATTGTATAAAATAAGTTGGCAAATGGGTTTTTTTTTTAGAAGTTCTTCAATGTGACCACCTCAGCGAGGGTTAGTTAAAAGAGGTTTTCGAATATGAAATGAGTTTTATGCATTCTTTTCTCTCTCTATTGTCTAATTTTTTTTTACATTTATATTAAATTGAAAACTAAAGTCATATTTGGTAACTTTTAATTTTTATTTAAAAAAATAAAAATTTGAAAACAAAAAGCTACTTCCTTGAGTTTTCAAATTTACCTTGAATTTTCACTTTTTAATTTTTAGTTTTCATTTTTTTTTAAATTGAAAATTGAAAGTAGCTAAGATTTCAATTTTCCATTTTCAAAAAACTGAAAACGAAATAGTTATCAAACGACTCTTTCTTTACGTATCCCTTGTTTATTTAATCAAATGCCATAAATAAACGAGAGTATGATAAAATCATCTTTCCCTTATAATAAATAAATAAATTTTACGTAACAAACCAAAAAAAAAATGACAATATTTAGAAGTACTTATGAATTGTAAAAGCACTTGTATCTACAAACAATTAAAATTTTATTGTATCTTTTCGTGCCTCTAATAAAAGAGTTTTCAGCAAAATTGATTTTTGAGCATACATGTTTTTTTTTTTTTTCAAAAAATTTTTCGAGACCACTTGTGTCACCACAGTCATGTAACACCATAATATATGTCTCTCTATTAATTAATATTATATATTAGATTTATGGCATATTATTGTTTTTTTTTTTTTTTTTTTTTCCTGAGAAAGCTAGATAGATTAATCTGGAAGAAAGGAAAGCCGATAGGAGACGGCAAATACAACGCAAAAAATGAGGACAGGGCATACAAAGACGCCGACAAACATGGCACCAACGTCAACCCTCCCCCATGAGCCAGAAACAAACTACGGAAGACAAGGTAGTCCATCTTTATTCAAGATTCTTACAAATGAAGATGGGGGTCTTTCAACCCAAACATAGTTGCTCATCTCCGTAGACTGAAATGACGCAACAACCACCCCAACAACTTCTCGCTCGCAATCGGCCTACCAATTAGCATCAACATTTATTTTTAACATGTGCGGGGGTGGAGGGGGTCTAAGATCAACGATGATCTGGGGGTCGAGAACTAGGGACCGAAAGGATATGTGACAGGGCTTTGGCCTTCAGGAACAACTCCACTTCACCAACAATGACCTAAATAGTTCGGAGCGGGGATGGAGGCTTTCGATTAAAAATTAACTTACATCGATCTTTCAGATATGCCAGCAAGTAAAAGCCACAACAGTAAGGAGAAACTTCGTGTCAACCGAGTTCCTCAAACACTCCTTAGAAACCATGAGTATCCAGGCATCAAGAGTTGTCACAGCCATTGGATCCACCCTATAGTTTAATGGGCCTCCAAACCACACCCAAATCGTCCATGGACAAACAGGAGAACATGCTCCATAGTTTCCTCATGTTCGTTGCATAATAGACAAATTGGGGAGGAGAACATCTTCTTTTAAAAAGATTTAGATGTGTCACCAATGCACCCCGAAGCCCTCTCCATAAAAAATTCCTAATCTTCGAAGGAGCATTGATGCCCCATATACACTTCCACACCAAGGGATCTGTAATTCTGGATGAGGAGGGTTGGCGAGATCTTCGATGTTCAGCCCTGTCATGAAGCCACCTAAAACCAGACCTGATGAATACACCCCCTCCTATCTGCCGGCCAAATCAGCCTATCAGGTCGCCTTGAATTTCCAACATGAGTTAAGGATATAGCCTCCCGCTCCGCCTCAGGGACAATGTCGTCAATGACCTTCCATTGCCATCCCCGAGAATCCGGTTGAATAATGGAGGAGGCCTTTTGGTTTGCATATACAGAAATACCCTGAAGAGGAGGAATTTTTGGAAGCCATCTATCAACCCAAATGCGTACCCACTCATGATCCAATAACAGCTCTCTTCCCTCCAGCAGACTCGACCACATGGCATATTATTGTTTGTCCATATTAAAACACCACTTGATTGTGCACCTATCACACCAAACAAAATTTCGTTTCATTAACTTCTCCTTTTTAAAAACTCTTTCAATAATTTGTGCTTCTTAGAAAATCTTTAGTTAGTGTCACGAATTAATGATACTCGTCACGCAAGCTCTTCAATTATACATTTTATATGCCATGAGTTTACCATCAAATTATTATGAGAGGTAACTGATCTACACTGATCCCATCAAATTATTAATGTGACCATGTTCATAAATGCGTATTGTTGGAAAATCAAAGTTTCCTGACAAGTTGGACACTCATGCACAAATTGACAATGAGATTGACTCGCCGAATCACGGGTCACCGACTCACCACTCACCTAATCTACTGCACCCCCATGGATAATAACCATGCAGTTACACTTATGTAATGGACAATGCTATTTGCATATTCATTTACTTTTTAGATGTTTTTTTTTGTCATTGATTTTTTTTAATTCATTCGAATTGGTAGCCGATAATTAAAAGGAGTGTGTAAGAAGCAGAATTGAGTGTGTAAATAACACTATCCAATATAATTGGTCTGAGAAGGCCGTTAAATGTAGCTCAACCAGAGTTCAGAACCTCTTTGGATCTGTGTATCTGGAACCAATGAAATATGCTAATTAATGAGAGCCGTATGATTTAAATTAAGTGATCCAGTTTCTTTGATCCCTCGGCTTCGAACACAAAAATCTGAAACCGATCTACCCTTCCGTCCCGAATCACAATCAATGTGAAGTAGACAATGGCAGCTTTGAATTAAATTGTGTGGGGGACTGGTGTCCTTTTTACCTTTTAGAAAACGGCAAATTGGCAATGTTTCAAGTCATCACTTTGCAATTTCCATATTTCTATCTATTTGCTATAAATTGTGAACAACTTAACTATATACCTCTCTCCATCCTGCAGATTGAACTCAAACTCGAAATTAGAGAGAGAGAGAGATGAGTGCTGCTGTGGTTTTGATGAACTCTGCTGATACTGTAATGGAGTTGAAGGAGTTAGAAACCCTAAAAGTAGAAGAAGATGAACAAGTAAAAGCTGCAGCAGTAGTAGCAGCATCGCATGCAGACGACACGGAGTTGGAGGAGCTGAGAAAAAGTCGTCTCATGAGAGCATCTGTCGAGGCCCAGGATCCTTCCACCAAGGTCAGAGAGAGAGACTCATCATAATCTTATTATATTTCTTCCTAATACTAACCCTAACCTTAATCATTTCGTTAATTAATTACTAAAGATTATTACATATGCTTGTTTAATCTTAGTTATCTTTATTTCTTTTATCTTTGAGGCCTACGGGATTTCATAAAATACTAACATGGTCATCTTTTACTGTCATTTTTTACAATATATATATAATATAATAGCGATACTATTTACATACACTGTGGAATGTAGGAAGGAAATTAGTTCTTTTGTTCTGAATCAACCAATCAAGATCACTAATTCCAAAATACAATTTCAAGAACCATTTCCCTATAGTTGGACATCAAGAAGAGCACTAATTCTGAAATACAGATTAAATTTCTCTCCATGTTAAAAAGCAAGTAAGCAGAGAGACAAAGGATATGGTTTCCATTACCACTAGGATTAGCTTGTAAAGACTTGTCCACTGTATTCTGAATATTGGTCTCCACTGTAACCACCTCTGAGAACTTTTCTGTAGATAATTCCATTGTAAAAAGAAATCCATGTTAGAATGCATTTCTATTTATAACACGTTTAATACCATGATCGGGATTTTAATGTTGTACGTCAATATATAAAATAGAACAAAGCCACTAACAATCTAAAAATATCATATAATTGATAGCGGTATGTACTTTTGGTAGATAATTTGTAATTAGATTGCAAAATATTGGGATGTCTAGTTCCTGCAGGAGTGTGTTATCCTTAGCAAAGAGGATACTTTTTGGGAATTGTTAATAGCACTCCAAAAATCTCATTCTACACTCCTCACAAGTATATTTTTCTTTCTAATTATAGAAAGTTTGGAGTGCCAAATGAGATTTTTGAAGTGCTATAACAATTTCCTACCTTTTTATATTTTGTAATTGCCCAGATGAAATCATAGCTAATGCCTCACACATTTGTCATAAAAAAAAAAAAATCTTAAACACAAAGATTCATCATTATAGCCTAAATTAACATCGCATTATCATATCAGAACAGACGAAGGTACTCAAACTCAAGTGTCCCGCATGCTGACATCCAACAAACAAATCAAAACAAAAGATGCATAAAAGGTATTTAACCAACCTACTCTTTTCAAATGGAATTTGGTGTCTGAAAAATGAGAAATTCAAAAACTTTGCAGCAGAAATTAAAAAAACAAAAAACAAAAACCAAACACTTACTACGTATTATCACTTTAATTCTCATTGACACTTCAAGCTCCGTAGCTTTTGACGCATCATGATCATACTCATAAAGCCCTGACATGGAACCAAAATCATTACTTTGACAAATAAACATGACCAACAACAAAAACAACTAAATTTTTCAAAAGGATTATGCCAAAAATTACCAGTCGAGCTACTGAAGACCATGATATCGAGTCGGAAAACTGATTTGCACTACTCCAACGAAGACTCAAGAAGGCCCAAAGTGTCAAGGAATAAGGTGCAGTGATAGTATTATCCTTATTGAATACAATTATACAACACAAATGTATGTGCTGCACTTGATAGGCATTGTAAATTTGTGAAGCGTAGCTTTGCAAGATACGTTTTTAGAAGTCAAGCCTATGCATATGAACGTAAAACGTTAAATACATTTTTCCATCAGAGTCTTAAGCAAATTTTAGATACATATTGAGATCTCTATAATTGACAGAGGCTTGGAGCTTGTGAAAGTCACATTTTCCATCGGTTGAATATCATCAACCACAATTTTATTTAATCAACCAAGAAGGAAAAACAATCAATAACGGATATTATACCTATTATAGAGTGACCTGTGCTGATAGGGTGGTTGCCTTGGTCTGAAGTGTCTGCACCTTCCTCTCCAGCTCATCCGTATACCTCACCTTCCTCTCCTTCTACCTCGCAGCCAATTGCCTATTAGCGAAAATCCTACAAAACCAAAAGGTTAAAAAACATCAAATTTTCATTCAATTGAATAACATCAGCAAAATAACCCAAAATTCAACACATACAAATAGAAATAAAAATTAAGAAACCTTTCCAACAATTGAAAAGAGTAGGCTTTGTGTTCAGAAGTCAAGCCTACAAAGATAAGCATGTTCATTAACTTCAATAACATCCTCCATTTATGACAACCGTATCAAAACCTCACACAACCATAACATCCCTGAACACCAATCCCGCCCACCGTTGAAACAATTTCACCAGACCCAAATCAAAAGAACCAAATTTTAGCCAACAACTAAGCAAAATAACATCGCACAAACCCCAAAAGTTGCACCAATTCCACACAAAAGTGTTAACTTGTACGGCAATTACTACAATCTGAAGGCAAGGATCCGTCGTGTGAGAGAATTTGTTGAAGGCAAGGATCCATCCAACAAGGTGCTGCCTTGCACATTTTGTAGTTAATAAAAATCACTAAATCTTGCGAAAATTAGTGAAAACAGTTGTTCTAATTTCAAAAATCTAATTAATATATATAGATCATTTTCAGATTATTAAGTAATCGATTTGCAAGATAATCACTTTTCACTTTAAGCTTAGGTACAAAACCAAGAATGAAGGCAACGGTAAATTATAGTAATAATGCTTTTAATTGGAAGGGAAGGATGGCTTGATTTTACTTGAACCATGCCATGCTTTCTTTGCCTGCGCTGATCTTCCCGCGTTGATCTTGTATTTTGTTGAGCAGAATCTAGCTATGCCTGCATCAAATTCTGATATTTTGGAATGTGGTGTGTAATTGTGTGCAGGAAGTGGATGATCTCACAATAAGGAGGTTCCTGCGTGCTCGCGACTTGGATATAGAGCAGGCATCTGCAATGTTCCTCAAGTACATGAAATGGAGACGTGATTTTGTTCCTAAAGGTTCTATTACTGCTTCTGAGGTTCCAAACCAAATTGCTCAGAACAAGATGTTTTTACAGGGATCGGACAAGAAAGGATGCCCCATATCAGTTATCCTTGGTTATAGACATTTTCAAGACAGCCTCAAGGAATTCAAGCGTACGTTTTTACTTTTTTTTTTTCCGAAACCTTCACACGATAAGTAACATTTCCTATGGTTGAAACGAAATCTGATAAGTCTTTCAAATCTAAAAGTCATATATTTTTGTATGTACAGGTTTTGTAGTCTATGGACTCGACAAGGTATGTGCAAAGTGAGTTTTTCTGTCACTCAACCGTGTTCCTAAGCGATTTTTTTTTTTTTTTTTGCTAATGCAAAGCTATTTAATGTAAGAGCGCAAGGATATATAACGTACCAAACATGTATAGTCCATAGACGATATGTTTTATGTGCTGAATTGAACTTCATGTGTCAGGATTCCGCCAGGACAGAAGTTCATTGCCATAGGAGATCTCGAAGGCTGGGGATATTCAAACAGTGACGTCCGAGGTTACCTTGGAGCTCTTTCAATTTTGCAGGTATCTGTTCTGCTACTTAGCATTACTTTCTATGTACATATAAGATTAAACAAACTCGCTAGTCAGATAATATATAAATTTCTTCTATTTCTTCTACAGCAAAAGTAAAGGCAAAAAATAAAAAATAAAAAAAAATAAAACAAGAAGGATACAAATTGTCCCATAACATATGTAACTGTTTACTAATCGTTGCAGGACTACTATCCGGAAAGGCTAGGGAAGGTGTACATCATTCATGCTCCTCTCATATTCATGACGGTTTGGAAAATCGTTCACCCTTTTATCGACAACAAAACTAAGAAGAAGGTAAAATTATCAATCTGCACAAGATGCTATGCAGCATTAGTGTATACAGCACTCCATACTTCATAATTCAGATCATCTCGCTTCTCTGTGCAGATAATATTCGTCGAAAACAAAATGTTGAAATCAACTCTGCTCGAAGAGATTGATGAGAGCCAGCTTCCGGAGATATATGGAGGCAAACTGCCTTTGGTTCCCATCTAGGGTCCCAAATTGATCAACCATGCCAAGAAGAAAAATGAACAGATTAAAGCTCATGTCTCATTAAGTTTGCAATATGTATGTTATAATATGTAACTATGCTGTACCACCTATGTGATTGTGTTTACACCTTCACTTTGCATCATGGTGTGCTTATAGATTTATAGTTGCATAAACTTGAAATTTAAAAAATGTTCACCTCTAGAAGCTTTTGGGAGGTGTTAAAACATCAAACCGCGTGGATTTCGTGTGCTAATTTCTTTGAGTACACAACCTTATTAAGTCATTGACTTTGAATTACAAAAATTAGTAAACTACATATTCCGTACTCAACCTTATTAAGTCATTAAATTTGAATTACAACAATTAGTAAACTACATAGACTAAATCAATAAATCACCACAAATGAAATTACTAGGACCGAAGTGGAATTTTGTGGATTTCCCTTCTCTACTCGTTCACTCCTCCTTGCTTTCTTAGCTTTTGAATAAATAAATCAAAGAAGAAAGCATCAGGAGAAAACGAGCATGTTAAATCTCTAGCTTAACAATTCCCAAAGTTGGCGTGTTTATTCCATATCTGTTACAAGGGTGTGAACCCAAAGTGAGGATAAAAGATAAAGTCATAAACAATTATTATTCAAATAAATTGGTACAAAAATTTGAGAATAAGTGGGCAAATTTAAGTTGACATGTAATCAATTTCCCAAAAATTTCAAAGTGGCTACATGCATCGCATTTTAGATTTTTGAATGCATACAATATGAAATAAGTTAAAATTCATAATTTGCTTTTTTTATGACAATCGAATCTAAAATTTTTCGCTTATAAATTAAGAATCATACTACTCGACTGTAGTATAACAAATTAGATTTACAAGTAGAGTTTAATGTAAAGATAATTATGTAAACATCCGATCTTGTACTCGCACAATTTTCAAATTATATAACGCTTGAAATTTGCACGTGAACAAAGATATAATCATATCTACTAAGTAGTGCATTTGAATCTTTAAAATCACGTGTGAAATAAAAAACTGAGAGGAAAAAAAAAAGACAAATAAAATTAAAAAGGATGGGTAAGGTGAGGTAAAAGGACAAGTACTGCTAATAACTGCCTGAGCCACTGCTCTGCTTTGGGAAGTGTCCACAACTGCCGTACACTACGTGTCAACCTTACATTAGTTATTCCGGTCCAAGTACCTTTCGTTGACCAAATATTTACTGTTACTATTCTTAAAAGAAGGTAAAGTCAACATCATCTCTAAATAAGATATTAAAATATTTTGAGAATTCCTATTAACAGTTTAAAAATCTTAATTAGTAGTATAAAATTTCTTTAATTAGGAAGAAAAATTCTTTTGTAAAAAATGTACAATGAAATTTTAAGATATTAATAATAATTTCCAATATTTAACCTCGTACTACCAGTAAAAATAGCAACAATATTTAAATTGATAAGTCAAATTTGATGTAACGTGACTTTAATTGGTATAGCTTTCACCTTATTTTGACAGTAGCTTTTAATATTTTTAATTGATTATTAAATGTATTTGATTAATTTTTTATTTTTATTTTAAATGATTTTTATAATAATTAATATCATAAAATAATAATTTAATTTGATACATTGGAGTAAAAAGAAAAACCATAAAAATGTCAAAGTGAGACATAAACTATAAAATTTAAATTTTATACTTAAAATTTAAGATTAAGTACCTATAATCTCCTAACCTTTTAGTGTCATTCCAAATTGGTATCAACATTTTCAAAAATTTCAAACAAGTACCCAAACTATTGAAAATGTCACATCCGTGATGTCTCAATTGATTTTTCGGCTGATCTCCTAATAAAGAAGAGGGTTAAGAATTCATCTAGAGTTTTAAGCAGCTTGTTTCTGCTCATGTGATTTCCTCATTCACATATTTTTTGCTCATAAAGCTTCTAGTTCTTTTTTGTGGGCAATGAAAATATGGTGGTGGCAGCATCATGACAACTCATATTGTTTCAGCAACCTCTGTGACCTTCTCAATGTTGGCGGCTTGAGTTGTAGGATGGAGTTTGTGGTTGTACGTTGGTTTGGAGGTGATGGCATGAAGGGGGTGATGGTGACTGTTACTTGGTGGAGTCATGCTTCCATGACCTTCTATTGATGTTAATTAGAGACAAAAGAAGCCCTAGTTAATTGGATAAAAAAAATAATTGAGACTTAATGGATGTGACATTTTCAATAGGTTAATACTTGTCTGAAATGACTAAAAAGGTTGAGAACAATTTGACATGAAGGTTCTAAAAAACGCTAGGCGCTAGTCAAGCGGCGAGCTAGAGCCTAGTGCCAAGGCGGACTAAACGGATTTAAGTAAATTTATTATATTTTGTATAAATAAGTGTCTGTTTATACTTGATATATATATATACACACTTTCATCATAAACTACAAAATAGAATGCCTTATATATTATGAAATATTGAAACATAATGAAAACATGGGGAACAAGGATATAATGCGTGTTCATTTAAGTATGCAATAAGTTTCTTATGATTTATTGAAAAAAAAATGCAAAATGAAAGTTAACTATTTTCTGTCTAAGTGAGTCGCGACCTAAGCGGGTCTGGGTGGGTTAGGTGGGTTTGGGTGGGCTAGGTGGGTGCCTAGGCGGTCTAGGCAGGCACCTCAACAAGTCTAGGCGTCATTTCTTAATTTTCAAACACCTAGACATTAATCGGGGCAGTGGTAAGCCGCCTAGCGCCTAGGTGGATCTAGGCGGGTATTTTTAGAACAGTGCATGACACTAAAAGGTCAAGGGATTTTAGGTACTTAATCCTACAATCTCAAATTTGCATCTTTAGAGATTTTAATGTCGATTGTAAATCTTTGACATCTTTAGAGTTTCTAATGCTGATCGTAAATTTCAAATTTTAATTTTTAATGTGACCCCTTATCTTCTCTCTCCCTCACTAAAGGATTTTCTCTCATAAACCCTAGCCTTAGCCGTCGGCCTCTTATTTTGGTTGGGGTAGTGGCAACCCCTTGGCCTTAATTTTTCTACAGCTCATTCCTTCTGTAACTTCCTTCCCTCTTTCCTTCTTTAATTTTCTATAGTTCCTTCCTTCTTTAATTTCCTTGCTTCCATTTTGACCCTGTGATTTGGTAAGTTTGCTTATGAGCGTTGTCTCACCTTGCCTTGAGCTATGTCTCAACTTCTCTGAGCTTTGTCTTAGTTTATGGCAGTTCTTGTCTCAGCTCAAGTTCATGATTTCTTCGGCCCAATTGTTGTTCCTTGTCGTGAATCACTGCCCATCGACATCTGCTACTTGGCTCATTGAGTGTTTCCTCCTTATATTACATATGGAGACATGCTTTACATTTGGGTGGCTTTTAAAGTGCAATTTACATTAATTGGTAGGATTATGAGAGCACTCAGAGCGCAGGTAGTTCGCCACCCCCATTTTCTATTGGTCAAAATGGTTCGTTGGTTCTTCTTTCCGACTGTGTCAGTTTCACAATGATGGTGTGACTGTTTAAGCGGAGGTGGCTAGTCCCTTTGTTTAAATCTAGGGTTTCTTTCCTTTACGGCTATTATTGACTCCATTATTAGGACTAGCCTTGTATTTCTTTATGTTTAGGTTGATTTGGATTGTCTATGGACTTTCCTAACCTTGTTGTAATCTTGTTTTTAATGAAATTAGCTCTATTTAAAATAAATTATTTCTCTCCTTCTTCACATCACACTTCATCATTCATCAATTCACCAGTAGTGAGCCCAACTAGCAGTTTCCCTAGGCCCCATAACGAGTGGCATCTGGATCCGAACCCTACCACCTCTTCCCCACGCAACATAAGTCCAAGAACGGTTACAACATCGTATTCGTCAGGGCCACGTGTCGGGATAGGAAGGGAGTATGTAGGCGGAGATGCAGCTGATCGTCACCCTCCTTTGATGTGGGCATTGAAAGTACAAAAATAGCCTTTTCAGTTCTGAAACACCCCAGGGTCGGCCCTAGACCAGGGCAGCCAGGGCGACCGTACAGGGCCCCAAAAAATCAAGGGCACAAAAAAAATTAACTTCTATTATTATAAAGTTATGTCCAGTAAGCATATAAAAATATAAAACTGGATTATTTGTCATAATTTGTTATTTGCAGCAGTGTTTCGCTGATTTCTTGCAATGGAAAGGAACACGGGTTCGAATCTCAAAACTGCCTTTTTTTTTATGAATTATTCATCTTATTTCATCTTTGGTTTAAATAAGTAGCTATATTTCTATATGTGCCTTTGACAAAAGTGGTTTTTACAAATTCATTTTCAATTAATTACCATCCTTTGGCAAATAATAATAATAATAGCTACCCAGGTTCAGATCAAACTGAGGGCCTTTTTCTTTTTAGCAATGATGTTATGTTTCAATATAATGTTAAGGTTTAGGGTTACTTTTCTTTCTTATCCAAGAAAAAATGAGTTATAATTTTAAAGAACATATATGTGGTATTTGGTTTTTCAATAATTTTTTTGGTTCATTCATTGTTGATAACATTATGTATAAAAATTAGAGATAGAAAAATATGACAATTCTTATGAGGCCCCAAGGGACAGTAAATTAGAAAATTATCCCCATAACCATAAGTTTTATACAAAAACACCTGTCATACTTTAATTGATTTTCTTGTGAAATATTTGTGTACCGTTATCCAATTACAAACTAACGTGTAATGTTATAGCTTAGATGTGAAATCTATTTTTCTTCACTTATAAGTAGGAGGTCTTAGGTTTGAGTCTTTTAAATGACAAGTTACATACCAAATTATGGCTAACCCATCTTGTTGCTTAGCATAATCCCTCACACCCTGCTATCATTTTATCAAAGAAAAGTTACATCGGCATGCACAAATACGAACACTAAAACAATTGAATTTTGTTTCTTACGTGGAGTTATACTAGGGCACTTTTTCTGGTATTGCCCCGAGCCTCAAAAATCTCAAGACCGGTACTGAAACACCTGCCCAACTCTTGTACTAGCCCAGTTGCCCTACCAGTTTTTTAATTTTATTTTTGCAAAGGGAACAGTAAACACAGTGATGACATTGGGAAAAGGATCCTCGCCGAATCCCTTTCTTAGGAACTCTAGGGATTCTGTGATCGGAATCGTTTATCGTACATCGTGTGGTCAGAAATCATTTTAAATTTTAAAATTTAAAATTAAATATAAATAGTACCAAACGAAAATAACTGCACGATATCCTTTTCCATGACTTTGTGTACGTGTAGGTGAAAGTACATTTATGCCCTCCAATCCATGCATGTTTGACCTGTTGGAGCAATGAAATATTCAAGAATCTCTACAGAGATATGGGGGTTGTGTCTGTCACGTTGCCCTAGACCGACTGATTGAGTGTGATCGATCATGATGAGTCTGATGTTGATATGATGATGGAAAATCAAATTACCATTTATTACGCAAACACCAATCTTAATCTTAAACATTCCATTATACCAAAATTAGGGTTGTTTATTTATTTATGAATAATTCCCCACAGTCAATCTTAATCTGAACTGTCAAGATTTTTTATTACCAAGTTTTGCAAAAAAGAAAAAAAAAAAAAAAAAAAACTGTTTGTGTGTTTGAATCATGTCCCAGATTTTGGACATTTAGATATTGGTTGTCATGAGTAGGAGACCAAAGGAGACAAGTAGCTAGACAACAACAAGCAAGCGAGAAAGGAAGTTGGGACAAGTTACTTCTATTTAGCACTTTGAGGAGATTTGTCTTTCCCTTCATAAAAGGGTTGATTCACGGCATGTCAAGCTCCGGTAATGTTGTTCTCTTTGTGTGGAATTAAACCACATGCTCCATCGCTTGTACAAACTTTTGTCAATTCATTATTGAATGGGTAGTCAGTACAATTTTGAATGTTTTGCTTATATACAAAGTAACAAATATTATAATTGAATTGTTCGATTACTTTTTAGTCATTCATTGAAAGAGATATACGACATAAATAATGAAAAGGAATTAGGATCTCAATGGAAATGTCGTCTGTTAACCAGTTTTTTTGAAATTCTTTTTCTGATAATTGGTAGGAATTTATATCTTTAATTCCTTCTTAGCAAATAACTTTTTTTTTCCACAAGGTATATATCGTAATGTCTTTCTATAGGATCACATGTCTTTTTATTAGCTTGCGTTTGTGGTGCACAATTTTATGGAATGTAGGTAGCTATTATGATTGATTCGATATCGATTCATCTTTTTTTTTTTTTCCTCAGAAGTTTCATAATTGGACATTGAACCATACCATGGGTAAATTATTATTATTTTTTAAATCATATTATTTTCGGTTTATAGGATATATCAGTCATTTTATTATCTAGACCTTGGTCGTTTGTTTCTTAACCAAGGATCTAATTATAAAAAACAGTGGTTATAGACTATCCCTAAGTATATAAAAAAAGTCCCTTAACTTTTATGCTCAGCCATACTAACACGGGAAACCTATCTTAGCAAAATCGAGGTTATGTTAATGTCAACGAAGTTCTATGGTGTTCTGCCCTACGTGTAGAAGAGGGTTTGATATGTCGGACTTTTTTTGGCTCGTTTTCTCTCACAGACTCCCCTACATTCGGCCTTAGTCGATAGAGTTTATATTTGAATCTAACGATGACATCATAGAAATTAGAAACTATATGAACTTTTTAATAACTTGCCCTACACGTCCGACCATGTAACTCCGCTACTAAAGTTACTATAGCAAAAATGACTCCTTGGATGCTGTACGAGTTCAAAGATAAATAAGAATCGGAGAACAAACCAAATCCAACCTTTTAAGGTCAACTCAAATCTATCAGAGCTATGCATAGATCTTCATTGGCTAGATCTAACAAACATAACAAGTTAAAGAAGTTCATTGGGTAGTGGGACCAATTCGATGGACCCTAACAAGTTAAACGACACCTTCGTTTTGGTTGTTAAAATTTGGTTGGGTTTGGAAGTGTCAAGTTTGAATACAAGTATACGAACTCCAGTTTGTCAGTTCCTCAGGAAACTCTCGTACAAAACAAAAGGGTAGTTTCGGAAGTATAAGAAAAGCTTTTATAGGAACAGAACACTACAATCTCCCACAGAAAATAGTCTCTGTTCACACTGTGCTGTGTGGAGTGGTGGAAAATATGGATCCAGATGCCTTCTCTGCGAACTTGTTCAAGTGGGACTTACGTGGGATGGTTGTGCCGACGAACCGGGTTCAGCTCGAAGCAGCCGTGCCGCCAGCAGCGGCAGCTGCTGCGGGGGCGGTTGGTTATACTTTGCGGGCGCCAAGAGAGCTTGGACTTGGAGGGCTTGAAGACTTGTTCCAGGCTTATGGGGTCCGATACTACACGGCGGCGAAGATAGCGGAGCTTGGATTTACTGTGAACACCCTCTTGGACATGAACGATGATGAGCTTGATGACATGATGAGCAGCCTCTCTCAGATATTCCGCTGGGAGTTGATTGTTGGGGAGAGGTATGGTATCAAAGCTGCCGTCAGAGCCGAGCGCCGCCGCCTTGAGGAGGAGGACTCTCGGCGGCGCAACCCTGTCTCTGGTGATACCACCACCAATGCCCTAGATGCTCTCTCCCAAGAAGGTACCATTCGCTATATACATGAATATTATTTACCTTTGTGTCTTAGATTAACCGTACTATATAGGCATATAGGTAGGGTTTGATTACACACTTTGAAATAACATTATTTTACATGCAAATTAATAGTGTGACAATATAACATGTTCAAATAGATGATAAAAAAAATTAGGATTTAGTGAATCAAAGAAGAAAAATAGGTCTTTTGGCATTTGCTGTAATAATTTGATGAAATAACAAATCAAAGATGTTTATTATTTTGTAACATAGTATGCCAGATCATATGATGTTCGAGATTGCGTGATAAAACTAAAAGCATATGTTTTATATGATTGTAACATAATATGTCAATTATCATAGTCTTTGATACTAGAACATAACGTAGTTGTTATATTAGATTGGGATATATGATACGCGGTGCATGGGATGTGTAGGACTGTCGAGGAGCCAGTGCAACAAGAGGAGGAGATGGTGGGGAGCGGAGTAGGGATGGCGTGGGAGGTTGTGACGGCGGGGGAGAGGCGGAAGAAGCAGCGGAGGATGAAGAAGGGCAATATAGGAACTGTAGTGCTGGAGGGGGTCATAATAATGATCATAACGAGGGTGTAGACGACAAGGACGACATGAATGGGCAGGGGAACGGTGGAGGAGGGGGGTTGCTAGGCGAGAGACAGAGGGAGCACCCGTTCATCGTGACGGAGCCTGGGGAGGTGGCACGTGGCAAAAAGAACGGTCTTGATTACCTCTTCCATCTCTACGAGCAGTGCCGTGATTTCTTGATCCAGGTCCAGAACATTGCCAAGGAGCGCGGTGAAAAATGTCCAACCAAGGTACGGAGTTTACCCATGATTTCATATGCGGATTTTTACTGTGGTAAATACAGTAAACTCATCTTGAGTGGTTCTCTGTACACCCACGTTTGATTTCTGGACGTTCATCAATAAAGAAAAAGACTATTATACTCATATATAAAATTACCACAAAGACTTGGTGATTGTCTAAGAAAAATAATTATGGGGTTTTTTTCACTGTATTCACCTCATTGATGCACCTTGTTGTGTATGCACTAGAAACTTAGGTAGTTGAACCCTAAGCGTTATCTACACACTCATTTTTACCTCTCACACATCATTCTCAATTCATGGCCGTCATATTGAATGAATTGAAAAAGATCAATTGACCAAAATTAATAAGAATGTGTCAGAGATAAAAAGATGTGTGTGAAAAACGCTACTAAAAGCACTTCTTTCCGGTTATGAACAACACATTTTCAATCAATTTAGATTTGGCAAAGTTTCACTTTCGTTTATGTATTTTCAATTACGTCGAATTTAATACATGCGGTCTGAAAATTTTGTCAATTTAAGAATATCCGTCAACTTCCGTGAATTTCTTGTATGAAATCTGTTAAATTTATCCTCGTATAAGAAATTTACATTGTTGATGAATATTCTTTGAATTGGAACTACTTTCTTACATCATGAGTCAAATTTGATGCAATCCAAAATACATGAATGAAAGTAAGTCAGTTTGTAGTCCAAAAGTAATTTGATTCAACTATTTAGTTCGACTAATTTAATTTCACACTTTTTTACTACAAACGCAGGTGACAAACCAGGTGTTTAGGTATGCCAAAAAGTCAGGCGCAAGCTACATCAACAAGCCGAAGATGCGGCACTATGTGCACTGCTACGCCCTGCATTGCCTGGACGTGGAGGCGTCGAATGTGCTGAGGAGAGCGTTCAAGGAGAGGGGCGAAAATGTTGGGGCATGGCGGCAGGCGTGTTACAAGCCTCTTGTGGTCATTGCAGCAGGCCAAGGCTGGGACATCGATGTCATTTTCAATTCTCATCCCCCTCTCTCCATCTGGTACGTTCCCACGAAGCTCCGTCAGCTTTGTCACGCCCAGCGCCACAATGCCACCGCCTCTAGCTCTGCCTCCGGTGGCGGGGGCGAGCACCTGCCCTATTGATCAAAGTTTGTGTTCCACTGTATAACTTACAAAACGCTTCTGCAGAGGGCGAGAGATTTTGGGCAAACGAAGGAGGGACTTATATATGTACTATTAAGGCTAGGGCAGACTGAATGAAGATGTTAGGATCTAACTATGATTTACTAATTAAAAAGCTTGCTATTTTAACTATTGTCAATTTACTAATATTATAATATGTGAATTATCACACTAAAATTTCTCATAATCACGAATCAAATAAAATAATGACTACAAACACGTGAATTAGTAACTGACGTAAAACGTCACACTAAAAATTTCTACAACCACCAATTAAAAATAAAATAATGACTATGAATCACTTATTTTTTCTCTCGTTCAGAGATAAAAAACGTGGACGGCAGGATTCGAACCTGCGCGGGCAGAGCCCACATGATTTCTAGTCATGCCCGATAACCACTCCGGCACGTCCACCTTCTTTGAAAGCGAAGGACCATTAATTGTTATATTAACTTGATTGGAAAAATGATTTTGGGAATGAGAAAGAAACATTTACACATGTATAAAGATCATACTAAAGACCTATAATACAACACTACTTTATAATTACCAAAATCGGCCGTGAACCGTCGATTGACTCTAGAATTAATAAACCGATCATCAAATCGTATGCATGAATCTTGGGAGATTCTACCCTGTCATCGGCAACGGTCACTTAGTAGAGCCAGTATTAGGATAGGCTAACTCTTCAAGGCTGAGGTTGGACTGCAAAATCCATTCAAGTTTTAGCTGATCTGTCGTTGGATTCAATTAATGAAGCCCATGAAATAGTACCTGGGGTTGTGCGGTCCAATTGTAACAGAGGACATTGTTTAATAAAAAAATAAAAAAAAATTAATGAAAAGAGTTTGAAAACTTTGAGTTTTAATGATAAGGATAAAATAAAGGATAAAGTGAATAGTACGAGGATTGACTTTTTAGTGTAAAAATGTAGTTTTTCGTTAAAATAAACAGTATCGTGAGTTTTTCGTTAAAACTCCCAATAAAAAATGATACCAAATGTGGGAACCAAAACCGAAACTCGTTGCTTAAATTCAAAAGCGTGTTAAAGCAATTCATTTTAGAGTGGCGAGGAGATTCGTGCCAAACCATGGTTAGCAACCGGAGATCATTTGAGATGGCGGCGCCTCAGCTGCGGTCGAAATTCAGAAGAGTTGACTGCGATTATTAACAGATGAAGATGGCGTTCCACCAAAGTTTATTAGAACTGACATGTATTCAATTAGTTCCGCTCAAGTCCATAAGCAACATTAATCATTAGCGATAATTGCGCACTTGTTAGTTTTTGGGAATCAACGACATGTATAGTTTACACACATATATTCTATTAGTTCAACTAGTGTTCTTAAGCAACACTAATCTTTGAAATAACAGTAAGCTGATCGTTGTTTGTTAAATGAAGGAACTGGGATCGATCAATATCATCCTTAGTTGTCTCCGCTAGCTATTAAAAATAGTCCTCAGCTTTATTAAATATACAACACATTTGACTTACTTACGTTACTAAAGTATCTAACAAGCGTTGTTGTGCATGTGACGTATTCTCAAATCATAAATCTTTGTTACCAAAATTTATTTGAACTGAATACATGTTAGTTCTGATAAATTATTCAGAAGAGTCGCCTGTGATCAAGTACATATGAACATTGGTCTGATTTTAAGCTTTAAATTTGGTTTTAGACTAAGCTTTTAGATTCAAGTTAGATTCTTCCTTCAACTGTTTGACTGGAGAATCTGACTGGTCAATTAAATCCAAATTTCATGTGCATATCATAAAATCATATCACATCATTGATCGTGTTGATCTTGGTGCCACAAGGTGATGAGCTCAGGAGAAACTGCCACTTCGTGAAGACCGAATGAGTTCATCTTGTGTAAGGCAAGGTTGCACAAAGGTAAAGTTGCTCAATAGATAGGGTTCTAAGAATTGAGCTTGTGTGATCTTTGTATGAACCTTTGTTTACACTAGTGGAGAGTCCCCGATTTTCTAACTCATAGGTGAGTTTTTCTAGCCAAAAATATCTTATGTTCAAGTTATTGTTATTGTGTCACACATCTCACATACACATACATGATACATATATCTATTGAACATTTAAATAGTATGCCCACTTGACACATTAATAACTTGAAACAAACTGCAGCCTTGTTGTCTCGCTGACTAGGATAGTTTGTAGGATTAGAAATTGGTAATTGAATCTTCGATTTATTGACTAACAAATCTATCTTAGTTGACTAGCGGGCTTGACTAGTCAGTCTAGCGGATTATAATTTTATATACAGGATATTTCACCTGGTACCAATTTCAACGTCTCACTTACAAATGAAGATGAATACCACTAGACCGTAGTACTAGGTGGCACTAAGAAGTGGGGGTTAGTTAACACACAATTAGTTAGGCATAATAATTTTGTATAAAACTTGTTGTCCATGTGAGTCGAACTGAAGACTTCCCAATTACAACTAAATTTAAAACACTACTAATGATGTACTACGTTGCAAATAAAAAAAAATAAAAAGAGTTTACAAAGAAAAAGTGTAGTGAAAAAACAAGTTAGAAATGAACGAGAATAAAAACATAAAAAGAAGGGTTTTTATCACAAATGGTCCTTAAAATTGACCATCAACATCAAGATGGTCATTGAAATTGAAAATCAATCAATGTAGTTCTTAAAAATAGGTGTCGCAAATCAATGTGGTCATTCCATCACAATTCTGTTAAAAATTCCGTTAAGTGCTGATATAGCACATAAGTGAGTCGCATAAGTCCATTTTTCTCACAAATTGTCATTGAAATTGACCTGCGACATTAAAATGGTCCCTAAATTTGACCTATGACATCAAAATAATCTTTGAAATTGAAAATCGATCAATGTAGTTCTGCAAGTAAGTGTTCCAAATCAATGTAGCTTTTCCACCACAATTCGGTCAAAATTTTTGCTATGTGCTAATGTGACACATAAATGGATTACATAAGTCTAATTAAATTAAAAAAATTACAAATGGATCACCTGAACAATTCGGTCAAAATTTTTGTTATGTGCTAATGTGACACATAAATGGATTACACAAGTCTAATTAAATTAAAAAAAATTACAAATGGATCACCTGAACAATTCTGTCAAAATTTTTGTTATGTGCTAATGTGACACATAAATGGATTACACAAGTCTAATTAAATTAAAAAAATTACAAATGGATCACCTGAACAATTCTGTCAAAATTTTTGTTATGTGCTAATGTGACACATAAATGGATTATACAAGTCTAATTAAATTAAAAAAATTACAAATGGATCACCCGAAAACTTTCATTCAATATTTCATCCATCCAATTTTTATTCCTTTTTGCCCTCATATAGTTGTCATGTGTTATTTCTATGAATCACCCAAAAACTTTCTTCCAATTTCTGTTTCCTTTTTGCCCTCATATGTAGTCCACACTCCTCTGCCTTTTTTGTTGTCTATTCTCTAACAAAAAAAATCTCAATATAGTGGCGAAGCTACGTGAGGGTGAGGAGTGGCAGTCGCCACTCCTTCGCCGGAAAACACGCCTAGGAGCGCTGGTTCAGCCCCTCGCTCTCGTCGGAATTTATGGCACCTGTAAAAATTGATTTTGGCCGGTTCACTGTCTTGGTCGAATTTGTAGAGGAAAGGTGATAGTTTGGTTGGATTTGCAGAGAGTGTGGCTTCAGGATCTTGCTTGTCACCACAAACATCACCAAGTTGAGATCAAATGGTGAGAGGGACTATCCGAATTGATGATGACATGTCGCAATCATTGTTGTCGTCCATAACAGAGGACGACGATCGCAGTCTCTGTAGAAAAAAAGGGACTGGTGGGTCGCATAAAATAGGGATTGGGTCATCGGGAAGAGAGGGGTTGCAGGCGCGTCGCCAGAGATGAGAGGGGATTCAGTGTTTGATGAGGGAGAAGTAGAATGTTTGATTTGCAGAATACCGAACGTTTGGTTGTATGGTTAGGGACTTGAAAATGGACATGTGTCTTCATTTTATTAGTCTTTTAGGAGGTCAGTAAATGTTGGGCACTGAACAATCAATACCAAGTATTATACTTTTTGTGGTTTATTAACCCATTTATCTCTTCTTTTTTTTCTTATATGTATTTTTTTTATCTTTTAAGACTCCTACCATATTTACCGTATTTATTTTAAACTTTCACTTTATTTATAAATATTGTATTACTTTTTAAAAACATTGTAAATATTGTTTAATGCTTATTTTATGATAATTTAAAACCATATAGGCTCCTGCCAAAGATCTCACTTAGGTTCCAGTCCACTGTTTAACTAGCACCTAACATTTTTTAGGATCTAATCCTAGCCAATTTAAACTTCTTACATTGGCTTGCAAATTATTACTTACAACCGATTTGGTGGAAAAACTATTTTTTGCTATGAATATTGACTCAAAACTTTGTACTCTCCAAAGTGAAAGCAACTGTTTCGATTGAATCTTGCACTCTTTTGAATTTTGTCCATTCCTCGGCAAATCATGGCTTCGTCACTGTCTCAATACACCTATCTTTACACATTTCAACACCCTTCACCGAATTGAACCTGGATGGAGTTCACCTTTGATGACGACTTGGCTAATTGATGAGCTAATTGACGACTTCTAGGGCATCACCGTTAACATTTACGCGATCAACATCCTCACAATCTTAATCTTTGAGAGCTTGTTTCGCGTTTCTCTGGTGGTCTAGTGACTCAAAGAACGACGAGGCCTGCCTTGAGATAATGAGATTGTAACCGAAGAGCATCTGTTGTTGGTTAAAAACTATTTCTAAACCCCTTCTTAGGCTTTGGTTAAGCCTTGTGTCTTTGAGAATTTATGGAAGGGATTTCTCTTCGGAGTAGTTCCTACTATAAGAAAAAAAAAATTCTATTGTGCAAAAAGGTATTTAGACAACTTTTTAATTAATTACTAAACCCACATCAGCACATAACAAATTTTTTTTACAGAATTGTAGTAGAAGGACCATATTGATTTGCGACACCTATTTTTTGGACTACATTCATCGATTTTTAATTTTAGGGACCATCTTGATGGTGCGTGTCAATTTCAGGGACCATCTTGATGGTGTGAGTCAATTTCAGGGACCATTTGAGATAAAGAAAT